TCAAAAGGAGGACAAATCTTTTTAATAAACATAAGATCAAAAGTTTGCTTTTTTGTCTCTTGAAGACAAACTATATCACAATTGCAGTTCATTACACGATCTCTAATAGCATCCCATTTCTTATTAGAGTTTATTCCTCTAACATTCCAACTAAGGACAGACCAAGATCTAGTTGACATTGATTAAACAAAAGGCAAAAGAAAGAAGATCCTATGTAGCTAGGTACTAGGATCTGCAGCTCTATCCTTGGAGCTATGGCTAGAGGAAGGGCTAGCTTGGTCTGAAGAATTTTGGCTTGCTGATGAGCCAGCTTTCTTACTTTTCACAGACTTCTTTGTAGCAGGAATGACATTGAGCTTTGCTGGAGTGAGGTCTATAGGATTGATGCCACAAAAGGATGCCCCCAAATTTCTGATGACCTTGGAAGAAATAGTGGGTGGCTTAGTTGCACAACCCAGGCAGTTCTTATTCTTTCAAGAGGTGGGTGAAGACTTGAACCCCTTGTTGATTAGCTTCAGTCTCATGCTTCTTCTGACATCAGCTTCAGAGAGTGGAGCTTTACCCTTTCTCTTAAGAGTATTGTTGGGAGTGGTGACATTATTAGGAGCCTTGGAGTTGCTGCCTTCAGTGTCAAGACCAAGATCTTCTCCTAGTGACTCTAGAACAGCAGAAGAAGTATGCTCAAAGTTAGAGCAAATCTAAAGATCAACTTAGGACATGAATGAGGAATGGAAAATAGAGTAGCATTACCATTTAAAGTGGACAGATTAGAGCTAAAGTGATTTCAGGCATTGGATTGCAGAAAGGATTTAGCCCAATCAAAAGTAGGTGACTGTAATAAGAGAAATGTGAAGAAATTAATCCAGAGTTCAGGGATAAGGACAGAGGAAAAGTTACCATAATTATCTGAGAAATGTCTTACCCATTTCCTGATTGCTTCAGGGCAAGGTCCAAGACTTGGATGTTGAGGCCAGGAGTCCTGAAGCTGCACCATCCCCAGCTGAATGTCTTCATTATGCTCAAAAACATTTCCTTGGCCATTGATCCAACCCATCAGATCATCCTCTTGAATCTCTTCAGGCATAAGAGGCTGTAGATTATTAAAATATGGAAAGGGCATAATTTCCACTAGAGGTATAGGTAACTGAGCTTGTGGAAAGACTTCTGAATCAGTGTCTGTATCATCATCCATTGCTAAGACCTGTTCTTCAGCCACTGGAGGGACTGTAGTCTGATGCTGAACATTTTGAATGACTTCTTCTACAGGCATAGCCAAAGCATCTTCCTCAACATGATTTTTTCTGCCCACCTTGCTAAGCTTCAACAGGCTGAATTGGGATTAAAAGAGGTACTCCATCCATATTGGGCTGAATTCCAAGCTGATCAGCAGGATGGCCCTATCCAAGCTGGGCTACATTATGATTAGGCCAAGGGGCCAAACTTGGTTACCTTGGTCTTCTGCAAACTGATTCTGTGCATTGGGGCCATCTGGAGGAGGAGCTGGCCCATTACTTGGTTGCCCATAACCAAAGAACTCAAAATGATTAGGGTCAATATCATCTGGATCTTCTGGTGGGAAATCCTCATCTTGAGGTTGGGCCCCCAACATTGTTGCTGAAATTATCTCGCACTGGACTATCCAACTATCAGACTCTGGGGTTTCACCTTCAAAAATTGAAAAACCATGGAATGGCATCCAAACCAGTGACTCTAACTTTGACCAAAGCTCTAGCCATATGTTCATGGTCCTCCTCTCAAACCATGAGCTTGCCAAATTGAGAAACTGCTTTATCAACCAAAGAATACGACCAGATGTCAACATTGAGGCCAATCATCATCAACCACACCTCATGTGTATACACTGTAGTTCTGTTATTCCAAGCTCGATCATGGGCAATGAAGGAAATGTGAGTGTTTCCAAACTGATGAGGGCCATTGTTAATCAAAGAGTCCCTGTGTGACATACGGTTAAGGGTGACATAAGCCTGACCAAATGGGCAGGGCTGGATTGACTGATACGGCATGCCCATCTGCACATTCAAAAATTCCACGAGAGTGCCATGGATGTCATTGAAATTCATCTGACCGTGTGGCAAAGGATGGATGAAGGCGATGGCGACATCATTATTGACTCGCTGCAATCGACCAATAACAACTCGATGCATGGTAGGTCGACCAGGACCCATCACATGCTGACCCCAAGTAGGCATGAAAGGAGTTGGGTCAACAAACCTATACACCATAGTGGAAGGATCGGGTTCACTATAGCATCAATTGGGGTTTTCAGAGACCAAGCAACATGAACAGTAGCAAGTAAATGGTGAATGCCAAGAACGCGAGACGCGTACTCACCGAACGTCGAGAAGATTATCGACGGTGGTGACGAGGATGGCGATGACACCTCAAGCAGGGAAGGAGGGGAAGAGCCGTCGTCGTCGAACTTTGGAGCCCGGAGTCTCCAATTCCGACGCTAGGGGATGATGACAGGGGAGGGAATGGACTGAATTCCGACCAACTCTTTAATGTATTCAGAAACAGAGAGATAAAATCTCGACGTATAAGGTTGCCGAGGTACACCATTCAGCGAGTGAGTAGAGCGACTATTACGAGAATTCGAAGGGGCACTCTGATCATTTAGAAGGCGCGAGGATCGGGGCGGGAGACTGCATTTTCCAGAAATGTGACCAAAGCCGAGACAATTCCGGCATCGCGGTGGATTATTACAGGCAGGCCTAGCATGGACCAGTGATAAACAGTTGGTGCAAAGCTGCACTAAAGGCCCATGACCATTAGTAATCCTTCTAGGGTCAGGAATTGGGCCCAAAATACCCGCAGGTGATATAGGAATGTTCTTATAATTAGGGGCATTGATAGGGTAATCAAGTCTCATAAAAGCAGATTTACAACGAGAATTAAAAGGTAATTCAAAATTTAAAAACTCTATGGAATTGGAGCTCGAAGCAGGAAAGCGAACAACAGGAATGGCAATTGGAACAGAATTGGCACCAGTAAGACGTACCGACTTGCGCTTAGAGACTTCCATCCATTCAGCAGCTTGCTCAATGCACCAATTACGATATTCAACTTTAAAATTGAGGCCTCCATAGTGCCAGAGATGGAAGAAGACCTTGAAATCTTGACATTCAAAAGTGCACAGATTATAGATATGGAAGCCAACCTGATAAGAGGCCAGTGAGAACCTGAAGACTCTATCATCCAGTTGCACAACTTTGAAAGCTCGAGGGGAACCACCAATGACAGCTTGAAGAAGATTCTCAATCAAATGCTCTGAAAGACGGAATTTACAATGTCCCACAGAGAACAAGGAAGAAATCCTTAGCAGCTGAAGATGGATCACTGGTAACAGAGGATCCATACCGACGAAGAATTTCAGCCTCCACCACCCGGCCAGGGCGAGTGTTGAAAACAGAGGCAGCCATGGTCATCAGGCGCTAAGTGGCGCCATGGATAGAGCTCACCATTTCGCCGAGTAAAATCCTTTCCGGCAAAACGTCGAGCAACCTGCGTGCGAGTATCACAAGAACCACCATAGCTCCAGCAGAACCACAAGGTGGACCAGGGCCAGGGGTGGTCGCCGGTGCTAGAAGGTGGCAAGGGACAGGTCGCGGGAGGAGAAGGCGGCGTCGCAGCGGAGGGGCTGGCCGTCGGGCGTGGCCCAGCGGAGGCCCCGCCAGAGGCAGAGCGGCGTGGAGGCATTCCAGGTGGCGAGCTCCCTTGCGATGTGTGGCTCTAATTGTCGTAAACAGTCGGAGTTCAAAATTTTGATCAGGATGCTCCCTATTTGGGCTACTCGCCCCTGCTTACCCGGGTTTACCCGAAAACCTACTTGACTTTTTTTTTCTGAACGGTATTTTTCTCGCATCACAGAATTCGCCAGTAAGAGTGTTTTCGAAATTTGGAGAAGTTCGTTTCGAATCAAGTTTTAGAACGGATATTAACCTGGGGCCACGATGCTTTTATTTGCTACCGCATCACCAGCTTGTCACAACGCCCAGACTTTGACATTCTGTAACACCCATCATCAAGGACGAAATAAAACCTGGCGTGGAGAACTTCGTTTCCCGAACCTCCTGTTGCGAGCATAGAACGGAAATTAATCTTGCAGCTGCAGGCCGGGTATCAGATTGGCAGGATCGGAGTTGTTGATGAACTGACAAAGCGACAATGCGATGTCCATCGAGAATGAATCTTCCTCAGTACGGTAGTGAAGCCAAGCGGCTAAGCCCATTATTGTGGTCCAAAGCGTGTGCGGCTTCGGTCCGTCACAGCTGAACTCGTCCATGCGACCCAAGCCGGCCCTTGACTGACTCCAGGCCCAACGCATTGCAAAATTCCTCCTCCTACTGCCAAGTTGCCAACGTGCCGAAGTGAAACCGTCGGTCGTTGGCCGGCGGGCACCGGGTTGGCCATGGAATCGAAGGACGTGGACGCTCACACGCGTCACGGACGGGGAAGATTCACATGGAAGAGCACGTGTGACGTCTCCTCCTGTCCTCCAACTTGCCTTGCCTTCAGGCTACGGCATGGATCGTTTTAGCTACTAACTCCTCACATGGGCAACCACCAGGCAAACAGTCACGAACACGCCTGAAGAATACACGTCCAGACTCCAGAATGGCAGCATGTGGCTCCTCGTATATTCATTGATTCATATATAACTACCTATAGTACCTAACTATACTGTGTACACGTATACCATGTCTATCATCAATATCTTCGAGTTAACAGCCTCTACCCTGCCCTTTCTCTCTCTTTTCTTTGTCAATATATATTTGAATTGTGCTACGTACTAAACTAACCCTGTGCCTCTGTTCTCTTATGCTATGTACAGTTCCAGATCAGGAGGGAGGTCAGCTTGGTTTTGTCTTGCATCTGTGCAAAATTTTCCCCGTCTTCTTTATACCGGTACCTACCGCTATCGAGATCAGATCAGATCACATTAGAACGAGCATCGAGTGCCCATTCTCTCTGTCCCAAATTCAGAAGTACTCCTTGTGGAAATGGAAGCGAGTGCCCGTCTTGTGGCTCATCTCGTGCGACAGAGTCTTCAGCTCTTTGGCAAGCGTCGGTGCGCCGCAGTAGAACACACCTGCAGGCACATGATGCGGCATCAGAAGCATTCTTGTGGATTTTGAGGAGACATTTTAGAGTTGGTTGAGCAGATTGTTACCAACTGTTGAATTCGGATGCTTGGAGGCAATCCTGGTGAAGACTTCCTTCCAGTTGGGTCTGGCGAAATGTGTCCTCACCTGCCGGGTGCACATAAAATGCTCAATTTTAATTTACTATACTTGCAGTGTTCTTTCAAAAAATTTATACTTGCAATAACAGAAAGAGGATCTTTGGACATAATCTTGGGCAACTATTTTCAGAGAATTGGCGTACCCTGGTTCCTGATACGATATCGACGCCGTGCTTGGCATGGTTCAGAGCCTGCACCATGGACAGTAGAGTTGTCCGAGCATCGCGTTCCTCGTAAACACTTGTGAGGTAATTGTGCAGCTCTATGACACCCTGGTTTCAACGAGTTCAATGTCAGTATAGGAAATATTGTGGGCATATTGTAAACTGAAGGGACGGTCAGACATCAAGATGGATGGAAATGTGGCATGAAGCAAATTCTACCTTCTTGTCCATTTCTGCAACCTCATTCATCACCCCTTTGAACCATTCAAATGATCCGGCTTCTCGGGTGACCCAGTAGAAATGTGCACGGCTTGTTCTGTATGCTCTCTTCCGGTTGCTGCTCGCTGTTGAGACACTAAAACTGTTGGCGCTGTCTTCAGACCTGCTAGTCTCCATTGCCAAGTCCTAATAATCGCAAAAAAAAAAAAGGATATGTAAGCTATAAGTGGGAATTCACATGTCTGCAGAAAATGGTTAAAATGAGAACAAATTAAGATAAAGCAGTACCATCAACTCGTCAGCTATCTTAATGTTATTAAGCAGATCCCTTAGAATGCTTATGAATGGTGTTGCCCCGATTCCGAGGCCGACAAGAAGTAGAACATCGTAGTTTCTAAAGTCCTGTGCAGGGGCACCATATGGACCATCTACAAGTAATTTTGGCAAGCTGTGGAATAGAAAACAAACACGTTCAGTTTCAGTTCTATTTAGGTGTGTAAAGAAGCAGCCATGGGGAAAAGAGCTTGATGGACCTTCTTGGTTCTGGCGCACCTAGCTCGCTAAATGAAGCTCTTCTGTTAAGATGTGGTGAGAAATAGTTCTCGACAAATATGCGCTTGAGCTCTTGTGTCCAGTCACCATTTGTTCGGATGTGAACACTGAGGTAGTCATCTCCAGGTGCTGAAGTGATGGAAAAAGGGTGCCTGCAAACACAAAACCCAAGCAGGTGAATACTAAATTAACCAGAGAACTAAGAGTAGATTGAGGAGATGCAAATAGGGAGTCATACAAACCATTCAAATGGAGAAATCATTGGACATTGAAGAAATATGTACTGTCCACTTCTGTATCGAAATCCATAGGGCTTTGACATTGTTATGGTCAATACATTTCCAGGTAGAAGACACACCTGCAGTAATGAAATTTACATAAGACAATATTCATCGATGGATTTATTTGGCAAAAAAAAAAAGTTCTGTCATTTAGTAAAAAACATTATGTTAAATGTATAGTTTCTTTATGCACATGCTTCTTTCTTGTTTTGACACTTTGTTATGGTTACTGCAGCACCTAATACTTAGATGATTATTCCATTCAGATCTAACAGTATGGTGAAAAAGAAAAACAGAAACACATCTATCAAACTGCTTAGCATGAGAAAAGTCCTTTAGATGTTAAAACCAGTAATTACACGTATGTATTTGATGTTGTGATTTGGCAGAAGAGCACACAGGAAAGAATAAAGTAATAAACAATCAACCAAAAGCATGGACCTTCGAGACATGGAAATCATTAGAGAGTGACAGGCAATTTCTGAAGGACGGAAAATGTTCGAGTAGGGCCTATATTTTTTTGGTGGATGTCCTAGTAGTGACAGCATGACTAGGCCACAACATTCTCCATTGCTTGTCCACATACACATCCCTTTTTTAAAAGGAAAAAAAAATGTGCGTTGAAGCTAAAATAATGTATCAAACTACACCGAATCGGAACTTGTAATGGATCACTAATTACTGAATCTGCGCAAGTTGTTCTCTTTTGTTCTTCTTTGAGTGCAATTTGTGCAAGTTATCAAAGAACCGTTCTAGTCTGAAATATTAAGTAATCAACATGTGGAGATAGCCAACTAGTAGCACTAGGGTACAGATTATTAAAAAAGATTGACACTTGCAAGCTGCATGAATTTGCCATTGCAGTTACCTCCAGTACTCACCTTGAGAATTTTTACGGTATAAGCATTTGACCTCAAGGCTCTAAGCATCCTTTCACCAACATAGAGCACCAGTGGGACAGAAATGTACATCCATGTCTGAAACCGCCATGAGATCAGTATTAGTAGCGCATTAAAAAAGATGTGTTAAAGCTCAACATCAGCCTCTGAGAAAAGAGCTGCTGAAATGATTAGAGGGCGTGCAAAAGTCATGGCAGGCAAACAGCACCGCTGGAATGCTTGTGAGTTGTGAGGAGAAATTTCCACATGGCATAGTTCCAAAGGAGTTGAGATAAACAAACGCACTAAAATAGCAAGAGGAACCACTCAGCTTGGCAGCTGTCAGATTCCCGCGCTTCCAGAATGCCGCGACGCGGCACAGTGTGTTTAATACTTGAATCGTTTATCCCCATACATAGAGTAGATATAGTTTCTAGTAGCTCAATAAATATTCAGACTCGTAGTGCTGTAGTCCAGGATAGCTCTAACTACCAGGCATTGTCCTGGACACTGGAGTGAACTTTCTGACATCTGAACCTTCCGGGTTGTGCAATTGGAAATGGCATATATCCAAGCAAATCAAATAAATTGTTTAGAAACCGCAGTTCCTGCCTTTCTTGAGACATGCTTATCAAATTCAGAATAATTGAAATCCAGGAAAGAACAAATACTAATCAACAAGATCCCAAAAGGCATTCTTTTCGGATGACTCAGTAGAGCACTATGAGCATGTTTGGATAGGACCCTGGACGTGTTGCCTGGGCTTTTGAGCTGCCTGTCACTTGCCTGTGACCCAATAGCAAAACTGCCTGGTCAGGCAAGTCTGTTTTTCATATCTTGTTTGGTTGACGTCCTGGAAGTAGACAGAGGGACAGGGCAGCGTTTGGTTGATGTGTCTCACGTGGCTTCCTGTAGGATGATTAGGTCCAGGCAAGTTGGATTGGAGCCCAGGCAGTCGATTTCCTACGCCTGCTCACAGGCAACTGTCACAGGCAACTCGTAGCAGGCAGATTTCTCAGGATGCCAACCAAATAAATCACAGGAAGATTACAGGCAGGTGTCCAGTCCAGGCATTTCAGTCCAGGTCTTTATCCAAACATGCCCTATATATCTGCCATTCTGCCTGACATCAACATCACCACCCGCCGAACCTACCGCACGTGCGACCCCAGAACAAACAGAATCCAACGCCTCTGGCATATAATCAATGCCGCCTAAGGAAAAGCAATTGCGAATTGCGAGAAGCATCAGATCAGAGGACCCCCCAGCATTTCCCCTCGAACGCAAAGGTGGTCCTGAGTGACCGGCACCTCTCGCCGTCACAAGGCTCCCACTACAGTACCATGCCAAGGAGAAAAGGTAACCAGCGAGCAGCTTAAGCCCCGTGCCACGCAGACACGCATGAAACTGAGCTGCACGGGAAGTTCCACGCATGGTCACAAACGGCAGGCAAGTTTCTAGGGGCGAGTGGCGCCTAGCTAGTACAACTGTACAAGGCTACATGCTCTCTTTTTTTATCCACAAATCTTTCCTATTGTTTCTTTCTTTCCATCTTGAGTTTCTCTTTTGCCTTTCACTAGCACGCCAAGACTAGTATAGACAGGCTCTTTAATCGGATTCGATCCCAAGACGAGAATGAGATGCCGTCGGCACCACCCTCCTCACCCCGTCCCCATGCCATGGTCCCTTTACAACTTAGGCCTCCTGCCGCCTTGCCCGGTTGCCCCCCAGATAACACCGCAATCGTTGGACAACATTGTGCTGCCTCCACACTGCCTGCCTACATGTGGATGTGGCAAGGGACCCAAGGCGTTTCCACTTGTTAGTAGCATTTGTTAAGTGCAGGTCACCATTCATATTCATCTGGAGGTTTGGTGAGACGGGAACGGGCACCAAGTCACGCCATGCCAAATTTACACATGTATACAAAACTGTTGAGTGTGAGTGACGAGTTCATGGGGCAAATGTGGAAGCGGAGAAAGCAAGCGGTCGGGTCGTCGCGTCGCCTGCTGCCGCCGGCCGGGGGCAGCAGTAGTAGGTGAGCGAGCGGCCGTGCATTATACTATATATATACTATACATGCCGGTGGGCGGTGGCCATGTGGTTTGGGTCAAAACGAGCCGGTTGCTGCGCCGCTGATCGATTGACAATGTGTCATCTCTAGTCCAGCCGCGAATTAAATGTGGGACGAAAGAAGGGGGAAAAAAAGATGCGCCGGCTGGTATACTGCCACCACCGAGGGCCAGCTTGGATGTCAAAAGTTTTAGTAAAACGCTACAGTAGTGTTTTCGTTGTTATTTAATAATTAGTATTTAATCATAGTCTAATTAAGTTTAAAAAATTCGTCTCGTGAATTTCGTCTAAACTGTGTAATTAGTTTTATTTTTTATTTATATTTAATGCTTCATGCATGCGTCCAAAGATTCGATGTAAAGAAAATCTTAAAAAATTTAATATTTTGGGTACAACTAAACAGGGCCAAGAATAAACGGAGCACAAAGGAGAAGCTTCTGCGCATACCTCATCACATCACAGGAAGCTTAAAGGCGAAGGCATGCGATGCGACGACGCCCGTCGCTTGCAGATTCGGGGTGTCGCGTCGCGTGGTGAGTGTGGCGCAGTGGTAAAAACTAAAGCGACATGAGTGTAACAGCAGCCCCTCTTGGGAAAGTGGGGTAAGGCTGCTAGGCTCTAGGATGGATCCGAATGGAAGAATGGATTCATTATCCAGCGATGGATGGATGTGTAGTAGATGGGGGTTTTATTTCGTGTACTGCTAAAACAGTGCTTCCATCCTGTAAAGCGCAGGGGGGCATCCGTGGCCATTGATAGCACTAATAAGGCCCATCTACGTTGATGATTAGTAGTGTTAGCGCAATCCCCACCTATTTCAGTGCAAAGATCCAAATGAAAGTGGCCTGATCAACAACGCTACCCAAGCCAGATCCACCAACAAGTGTAGGACCATCATAAACACTCATACGTGTAGCCATACAACCGTACCAGACCTATGTTTCATAATCAAAAGAAAAAACGAACGAAATGAAGGAAACTGAGCTTATATAATTGGCCGTAGTTGTCCTCTGCCGAAAATGATGTAAATTGGCCTGGCCTTAAAGACACCATGATTTTTAAGAGCCACGGCCCCCGTGCACGTTCCGGCTGGGCAGAGCGACCCCCGACCTGGTATGGCAGCCCACTCCAGGGCTGAGCTGACAGGATCCATGCCAAGCATGGGAGCGTGGGCAGAGTTCCTGAACCGCGCAGCGCAGTTGTTCGATCCGTCCATGGATCTGCCGATCCCAAGACGGCGAGTGCCACCGCTCCACACGTCAGTACCGGGCGGTGGCACCCGGCACTGCGCGGTGGAGCACATCACCACCTGCCCGCGTGCCCCGCGACAGCTCACAGCGACGACTGCTGCCGCCACCGCGTGCTACCGTATTCGTATCTATCCGACTATCCCCGTCTGCCCTGTCAACCTCTTCTAGAGCCTAGCCGGACGGACCCGACCCGGACCGCCGGACGCGTCGTTTCCCTCGCCGATCTCGACCGGGGCGGAGGCTCAGAGCAGGTCTGGGCTGGCAAGCATGGCTCCGCTTTGACTCCGGCGGCACCGACATCCCACGTCCCACGGCCCTCCGCCCTTCACGCACGCAGACGCGCTCCTACTACGATCTAGAGTGTGTCATCGTCACGGTAACAGTAGTTCTCCGAAGCGGTGGATCCTGGATGACCAAAGAGCAGATGATTGACTGACTTTGCTGTCAAACGCACTGAATTCCGCCTGTCCTACTCCTATCGCACGTCTCCTGCCAACTGCCGTGGCCGTGGTCCGAGGAGTCGTGGCACATTTTCCTTTCCTTTTTGCCCTTTTTCTTTGTTCCTCTGGATAATGCGGATTGCCACGAGGCGTGGTTTCTGGAAGAAGGCAACATAAAGCAGCAGCAGCGGCAGGGAGCCCCGGCCGCTGCCGCGACAACGGCGTGTCCAAGAAAAGGGTCGCGGTCGTGAACAACGGGCAGTTACCATCACCTTTGCCTTTGCGCGACGGGCCAAACAGAAAGCTACGCTACACGTCGCAACCGAGCCACCTCTCTCTCTCTCTCTCTCGTTCGCTCGCTCGAAACAACGAGCAACTAACATTGTGCAATGAATGCAACGGACCGGATGATGAAAAATGCACCGAAATAAATCACATCGCAGTATAGGGGGGAAAAAGATCGATGCACGTACCGTCTTCTCGTACCACCTCCGGACGAGGAAGAGGAAGTAGCCGTGGACGAGCAGGAGCGCGTACACGATGCCGAGGAGGTGGTGCGAGTACCAGAAGGCGTTGAAGCCGGTGAGACGGTTCAGCGGCGCCGGGAGCCGCGACGTCACGGCGTTGCCCGCGCCGGCGCCAGCCCTTGGGCTCGCCCTTGCGGAACGGGTGCGTGGCCAGCGTGAAGGAGACGGTCATGAGCACCACCATGGCCACGCCCGTGACGCCGACGGTGCCCGACAGGAGCCCCGCGTACGTGGGCTTGTCCGCGCCGAACGCACCGGCCACCAGCGAGTACTCCTCTGGGCTCGCCGCGATCACCCGCGGGAAGTCGCACGCCAGGTGGTTCCCCGCGTGCAGCGTGATCCCCACCACGATCGCCGTCGCGATCATCTGACGACGAGAGCAGGAAAAAAACAGTCAGCAACACAGCATATAATTACGGCAGTGAAAAGTGAACGCAAACGCACGTCAAGGTCTTTGCTTCGGTCACGAGTCGTTACGGGACAGACAGTGGCCGGTTACTTTCCCGAGAGAGAACAACCGGCACCGCCCCTGGGCCCACCAGCGACTGGGACAATAGCCCTTCTGGGCGTAGAGGCCCGCCTGCAGGGACTCTTTTGTCGGTCCGTGTGGACTTTCACCGACCGGGAAGCGGCTCTGACTTTTGACTGGACCGTTTACTGGGCTGGGCGCCTGGGCCTGGGCAGCACACAATTGTCCCGGTTGGGAGCAAGGGATCTTCTGTGCCGTACGGCTCCACTTACCGCCGGCCGCCGGGACAGAATCATTAGAGTCCCAATATGCACGGACATGGAGTACACGTACACAGTAGTAGAGTCCGGTCTTAATTACCTTGTGGAAGGTGATGTTGTCGTCGAAGGGGACGAAGAAGCGGGCCCAGGAGGAGCGGAGCCACGTGAGCGTGTTGCGGCAGACGGGGAGGAGCACGAGCGCCATGTTGAGCTTGAGCGTCTCCGCGGCGCCCTTGGCCGTGGGGAGGCAGTACCCCATCACCTGGAACGCCGCCGTGCGCCGGTACTGCACGAACTTCCACACGAACAGCGCCGCCATGGCCGCGAACCACAGCAAAAGCACCCAGGCGCCGCGCCACTTCTCCTCCGCCGCCACGCGCACCCGCGCCGCCGCCTTCCGCACGCCCCAGCTCATCCGGCGAGGCTCCCGCGGGTGGTCGCCGCCGCCGCCGCCGTCTCCTCCTCCTCCTCCGCCTCCTGTTACCGTCAGCGTGCCGCCGCCGACGCCGAGGTTCTGGCTCCACTGGGCCCCGCTGGCCGTGCTCAGCGGGCGGCTGTAGTTCATGTAGGTGTCGCGCTGGAGCAGCAGCGCCTCGAGCTGCCACAGCTGGCGAGGCAGGGAAGAGGCAGCACACGTGTCAGTACGGCGGCAGCACGCGTGCTCCAACTCCACTAGTCAAAATGACAGACGACGGCAGGAGCCGCCGTAGCCCGTAGGGCATACGGCCAAGAACGCCAACGCCCGCGTCGCGTACCTCAATGTAGCCAAGGTTCTCCGGGTCGAGCTCCTCCATGATGAGCGCCGCGTACTCCTCCGCCTGCTCCTTGAGCTTCGCCAGCTTGTTGGCCGACGCGCTGAGCACGATCAGCTGCGGTGGCAGGAGGGAGACCAAGCCAAACAACTAGCTGGATTAGCGGCGGAGCACGTGGGTAGTTTACCGCAGTAATTACTAGGATAGGAGTAATTAATTAAACAAGAGTAGTAGTATGTGTGGTACACTACACTAGTGGTACTCCACTAGCAGCAGCGGTTTGGTAATCAGAGCAGAGCAGGGTGCCCACAAGAATAAGGTTCTAAATGGTGCCGAGTGCTCTGCTCTCTTTTGGGGTGGCAGCTGAGCTAAAAACAGAGAGATGATGCATCATGCACAGAGAGGAGTGAAGAAAGAGCATTAGAAAAGTGTGGTTAAACAAGTCACCTCCTGTACTTCCTCCCTCGTTATCCTCCCGTCCACGTTGGTGTCCACCCTGAATTTGGGGCCGAGAACGGCACCAGAAGGAGAAGAAGAAGAAGCTTATCAAGAATCTGCGGGGGGCAAAGCGTGCCGTAGTGCAGGTGCGCACGCATCGGGAATTGGGACGGATCGATTTCTGACGTTACTTGGGATCCGGGGCAAGAAAGAAAGAGAAATGGGGGGCGCGTGAAATTTTAGCTCAGTACATGTCGAAGAAGATCTGGAGCCGCGCGTCGAAGCTCTGATCAGAGATCTGGAGCCAGAAGTCGTAGAGCTCCTCCTTGGTGATCCGCTCCAGGTTCTGCCGCCGCCGCCGCGCCAGCGCGTCGAAGATGCCCACCGCGAACTCCTTGGAGTCCACCATTCCTGCATCAGTTGGGTGCGGAGCGCCGCCATGCGCGGACAAGGACGTCGCAATTAAGAATCGAGCTGCTTTCTCGCATGTGCGGATAACAATGTGAATTGTAGCCAAGCAGCAGTGGCAGCACGACGTACCGATGCATTCGCCGAAGTCGTCGCGGGAGAGCAGCCCTTCGCGGGCGAGGTCGTTGAATCGCTCCTCGACGCGGCGCCACAGCTCGGCGGCCTCGACGGAGCCCGTGGTGCGGCTGATGAAGCGGAGGCCCTTGAGCGCGCGCCTGGCGCCCGCGCGGGAGCGGTTGAGCTGCGCCTGCTCCCTCCGCCGCTCGCGCGCCGCCATGGCCGCCTCACGCTGCAGCTCGACGGGCGTGGGGCGGTACGGGGACGGGGACGGCGACGGCGACCGCAGCCACGCAAACTTCTTCCGTATCCGCGACGACGTCGACGAGCACCGGCTCAGGCGGCCGGCGCCGCCCTCGGACGGCGTGCGGCGCGGCGACGGCGACACCCCGAACCCCGCGGGCGGCGCCGGGAGGGAGGCGGCGCCGTAGAGCGCGGCGCTGGTGGGCGTGACGCTGCGCACCACCATGGACTCCTCGTCCAGCTCCAGCGTGACCTCCACCAGGTCCCCCTGGTCCGCGAGGAATGCCGGCAGCATGCCGCCGCCGCCGCCGCTCCCGGCGCTCCCGGCGGCGGCGAAGAACTCCTCCCCATAGGCGGTAGTGTAGGACTCGTTGTCGGACGCGTCGGTGGCGGTGGTGGTGGTCTGGTCGTCCGCCAGGTAGTCCGCGATGCGGCGGTGGCCGCTGCGCCGGGCGTTGCTCCCACGCGACGGCGTCCACATGGCGGCTGCCGCGGCGCGAGAGCTGTCGTCCTCCTCTCCGAGGCGGCACGGCGGTGGTTGCGCGCCCCGCCAGGCCCGGCCCTTTTGTTATCTTTACCCGTAGTTCCAGTCCGCACCGCAATGCGTCCGTCCGTCAGCCAGCTATCCCCGTTCCCGTGGGCAGGCACCAGGCAGCAGCGGCTGGGCGGTGGGCGGCCGGTGATTCCTTCGCGGGCGCGGCCTCCTCGCGCTATTTTTTTTTTTCTCTCGTTTGCTTCGCGGTGCGGTGCTCGGCTAGCTGTTGCGTCCTGCGGTTCTGCCACGGCGCTGGGCGAGCTTAGCTTTTGGCCGCTCTCGCTGCGTCGCCCGCTTTATCAAACGAGTGCCGGAACGAGCAGCGCTTTTTGGAGGCAGGCTGTGGCTGGGTGGGTGCGGTACAGTCCTCGGCACGCCTGACGCCCCCAACACGAAAGCTCCTTGCGCCACGAGTTTGCGGTGCTCGGTTCGGAGGACGTGGGAGACGCGGTCGGTCGGTGGGCTGCCCTGGTGGGGATTTGGAGAACCTCAGACAGACGCTTCCAAACGAGCGAGACGCGGTGGACTCTGGACAGTGCGGCGCGGCGCGTTCCTTGTTGCAAAATCATACGTACCAAAATCCAGCATGATTCACTGTCTATGGTGCGAGCAGTGCGCTCCTCCAAACACGCAAACGAAGGATCGTTTTCAGAGTGACGGGTGTGACTAGTGCTTTCCTTCAGCTATTTACGTTCGATACAATTTTGCTAATGAATTGCCTATTTAACTTATGATTTGTGACGCACGGCCACGGTGCTTTACTTAGTAGCTTGTTTCGAGTCATTTTTAGTGATTTTTGATGACCCGTCTTAAGAAATCGTTGATCTCTAGAGATCCTCGCGCCCTAAAAGGATGTTTTTAAGCGCCTCTACAAACGTTTTGTATAATATAACAGTTGTTGTTGTTATCTCTATATTTTATAAGTGGTTTTCTATTCGTTAACCTCCACGTAAGGCATCGCACGCCATTGCATGCATATGAGAGTCAAAAAAATAATTTATACCTATTTAAATATAGCAACGTAATTGCTTATATAAATAACGGTGGCAAGATACAGTAGACCATGTAAAGGAGTACACCAGCAAGATGAGATCAGGAAGGGAGGCCATCATATTCCACGGAATTGTTGGGGGCGAAGCCTTGTGCGCCCGAAGGTTCACTTACTAAAACTCACCAATTGTTCTTGCGGGCTTCATGAGCACAAGTTCCAAAGCAAAGGCCCCGGTGCAAACTAAGGATCATCCGGAGCATTGATGCCGAAGACTAGTCGAAGCCTTCGGTCGGGGAAGTCAATCCGAAGGCCCAGCAGACCTTTCCGAGGGCTCCTGGAGGAGAGGCCTTCGCATGGGTCCCCTAGTCTCTAGGGCGGCTTCGGTTTGAGAGAGAGTAGGTAGAGCCTTTGACTACTAGGACTTTGGCTAGACGGTCAAAGACAAAAGCGATTGGACCCTAAGAGAATCCACAATGGACAAGATTTACTGTGATGCCGACTGCCGACTAGTGCAGCCCTAGTGGCGAAGGTCATGCAGGCTAGGCCGGACGCCCTAACGGGCTAAAGATCCGACTCAACAAGGGCCCATTAGGAAAGATGGTTGTGCATGCAAAAGACGTTAAGGCCCTAATGCATTGTACTTTGTGTATAAGGGAATATGTCCCAACTAGCAAAGGACAATCTTGTACATGAAAACTTATGTAGCCGTATCTTATAAAAGTGAAACTTGAACCTCAAGAAAGGGATATCACCTTTTGGCTCGACGCCCAAGAAACATTTTGCTTCGGTAGTTGTGTTCGTTTGGTTTTTGTTGTATTGAGAAGCTAAAAAGTTATTAAAAGCCAATAGCGAAAAAACAACCACCAGAAAACCAGTTTTTAAGAAAAAAAACCCCCAAAATTACAGCTCAAACATACAGGCTCTAATATTTGGTTGCAAAATTCTGAATGATGGGCTGGCGACGCAGGACAGCAAGAGGAAAAGAACGATCGAATATGAAAGATCTGTGGTGCTGAAGGGGAAATATAATTGTGATGTAACCATGAACGGGTGCTGCGTGATTCCATGCAGCAGCATTGGGATTCCCCGAACGAGGTACAGTGTAGTATACAACCGACTCCTGAAAGATTGCTTCCGTTCTTGCATGAACTTGAATAATTAGCGAGGGTGCCCAACTCTTGGTCCCTCTCTGGAGGACATGGCAGACATTACTCACAATTCAGCGAAGCTGTCCTTCAAAGGATCGACCCGGTTCCTTTGCGGATATTGGGGCGAACTGTGCTCCATCCGACACAGGGAAGAATCCAATTCGGTCGGATGTCCTTGAATGCAGGGAGAAGGAGACTGGTACAGTGGTATGTGGTCGTCGGGAGGCTGGACGCGTCCGGAGCCGGGCTGGCTAAGCTCAATGCGGATGGCGTGTACACGACAACGAGACTGGCGAGGCAGGCTTAGGAATCATCATCCGGATTCCGGAACTAAGCTCTGGTTTACTTTCTCTCTAAAGTATAGTCTCTATCACATCGAATATTTAGACATATATATGTAGTATTAAATATAGACTAAAAAATAACTAATTGCACAGATTACGACTACTTTATGAGAGACAATTTTTTAAACCTAATTAGCCCATGATTTGACAATACGGTGTTACAGTAAACATATACTAATGATAGATTAATTAGGCTTAATAAATTCATCTTGCGAATTACTGAGAACTTGTGTAATTTATTTTATTATTACTATCTGAATACTTCCATATGACACTATCATATGACACTCGATGTGACACCGCTAAACTCTAGCCTCTAGATTTAAACATCACCTAAGGTCGGCTTGGTCTTACTGTTGTCCTAGCCATATATATTCGCAATGCATGCGTTGGATGAGGAGGAAGTCGAGAAGCAAGCTAGCACAAATCCATTTGGACGGTCCAAGCGCGGCGAACGAGAGACCGCGTCCGTGCGTGCCTAACTTCCTTTTCCCGTTCGGTTTCTTTTCAACCCTTTCCTTTACTCATTCTAATATATATATTTCCCGTCGCGTGGCATGATGATATATTCCATGCATGCAGCCATGCGGGTCCATTAAGTGCATGATGGTCCGATTCGTTGGATGACATGGCTTTTTTCTTCCTTTTTTCTATTTTTTCTTTCTATCAATTTTCTGCACGGACATTCCTTTTTTCTGTTTTTTTCTTTATATCATTTTTCTCTTTTTTGTTATATATTTATAATTTATACTATATAGTTATTTTTATACATAGTTTTTATATTTCTACTAATATGTTATGATATTAATTTGCACATCCAAGTTCTTGAATATAACTTTTACGTCTAACTTTATGTCGACGTCGTTCATCAAATTATATATCTAAGTTATACAAACAAGTTATATATAAAAGTTTCGTGTATAATGTTTTGTAGCTTTCTCAGAAATTATGTTGATAAGTTTGTTCCGTAAAATATTATACATAAAAGTTATGCGTATAACTTTATCACATAGTAAGTTATATGTATAAGTTATGTGCGTAACTTTATCACGTTGAAGGTATACATTGAACTCATATGCATAAGTTATACGTTGAAGTTTGTTCACAAGTTATACCTAAAAGTTGTGAGAGAACTTTGTAATTTTCTAGAAAAAGAAAGTTCTTTTTTGCGACTTCTAGAAAATGAAAGCTGTCGAAATATTAAGAAAGTTGCTGGGCTGCTGCATTGTTGATTCACTGATCCCACACGTGCACCAGCCAAATAGGGAAAAGAGGTGGAATTATTTTTTTCTAAAAAAGAAAGCAACGCCATGTCTTAATTTTGTTCACTAGATTTATTTGCAATGAACGTTCGTGAATTAGTGTCGTCGCTAGCCAGGTCGTCTAATCGTGGCGGAATGGTGTGGCAACCGGGCAATTCTTGAAACGGACTGCATCTCGATTGCACATATACGTCTCGGCAGGCGACAGGCTTCAAGAATCAAGAGTGAGGATCATCCATATATACGAAAAGAGGCCGTATAATTGTGTGACCGTACCATGCGCCTACGAAGCAAACCAGTTGTTTGGCGTTTCAATTCGTCTCTATGTACTGCACAACCATGTGTTTTATATAATTTTAATACATGAATTTTTTTACACCATAAGATTAAGATCCAACAGCCTTCATACTTCTTCTACCTCTAGCTTTCTTCTACCTTAAGATAATCACAAAATCATAGATCCACATATCACAAATCATATATCACAGAAAACAAATTTTTTCTATGGAAGGACAAAATACGGAGGGGTTGGTTCCATTGCCTGCCCGTTCGTCATGGGTCGTCGCGTCGTGGTCCCTTGGCCAGTGCTGGTGCTGCGCTGCTGGTGCACTGCTGGTGTCGCGTCATGGGTCGTTGCGTCGCGTCATGGGTCGTTCGTTATAAGAAAGCGCACTGCCTGACGGACGTCAGACAAACCGAGGCAACGATCCGGTGGACTAAAATCTATGTATTTTTTTTTATAAAACACATGTGTGTTGTATAACATTTCGTAATATAATTGCTCCAGATTGTAATCAACTTATTTCTGAGTAACTAATTTCCCAAACAAATGGTACGACTTGTCTGACTTGTTGCTTGAGCGAGAAGTTTTAAATGAATAGACAGGCCGGGTCAACTATCGGAGGCTGGAGATGACACACCATTTGTTTTGTGCTGCACTCTTTAGTTTTAGTCCTGAGAAGGTATCATCAATTAGGCATTTCTTCTAAAATGCTTTGTTTTTGCTACTCCCTTATTCGTCAATTCGACAACTGAAAAATGCAAAGAATATCGCGAATGACATCAAGCATGTTTCTTGCTACCACATTTGGTCACTTGCTACTTTTAGTCGTTGCTCGGTTGCTGGATGTAGGTGAGCTAACCTGACCGAAGCTGCTTAGTAGCGTCGGACGTCACAAGTTCAGCACCCCTAGATGCTGAT